TTACCGCATCACTAAATAAGCCAAGAAGTACCTAACGTACGCCTGCGGTATTTGTAATTTTAGCTTACTTGATAATTATTAGTCTTCTTCTCTGTTTTCAGGAGACAAAATCAATAATTTTCTCTTAACATAAATTCATATCTTTTATCTGCCGCCGCCGCTTATTCTGCAACTAGCATCTGCACGTGCTTAATAGTTGAATTCTTAGCATCAACTGATAACATATAGCGTCTACTCAGCAAGCAGAACATACTTGGAAAACATGCACTGCGCTGTAACACTGATATATTACATTGGAATAGGTAAACTGGCACACCGTGTATAGTGATAAGTTATTAAATTAATTTAGTTTAATTCATATTTAATTATGGAAAAATAGAAGAACAGTATATAATACCCAAATACGCAGTTTTTGACAGTTCCGCCTGATCATAAAACTTAATCTCCATTCTTATTCATCGTGAGCTGAAGGGAGGTGTTTAGTTGCAAAATCCTCATTTCTGTACTAGAAATTACCATATGAAACATGTTTTTAAAAGAGTAGAATTTTTTAAAGAAATATTGATGTTACAATTAAACTCCCCGTTCAAAAACTCATCACAATTGAGATCGGGGCTGGTGGGTGGGGCTTATTTTTTTTATTTTTTTTTAAACATATAGAGTTTTCTTTCAACAACATGATAGTTAAACATATTGTCATTTTCTTGTTGGGAAAAGAAGACTTCGTATATTAAGAAAAAAATGGACAAAATAGAAGCCCCGCCCACCCACCCTTTCTCAATTATGATCAATGAGTTATTCATCGTGAGCTGAATGGCGGGGTTTAGTTGCGAAATCCTCATTTCTCTACAAGAAGTTACTGCCCCTGCTCTGATTAGGAATAAAAAACTCATTAAAATTGAGATCGGGACGGATGGGTGGGGCTAAATCTTTGTTTTTTTTATATACATAGTTTTCTTCAAAAGTGTTTTGCCGTAAAAGAACAAGACATATTATAATAAAAAACATAAAGTCGATCTATTATTTAATAATTTTTGGACTGTACTCCTGATGTCAGTCACGTATAGTTTTGGAAATTTCATTCTACCATATAAAATTTTATTGGCTATAACGAGATGGACAGTACAATAGCAAGAGATATTTACAACTTAAAGTTAGAAAGCTGAGTACTCCAGGTCCGGACACTGCCGAATATGTCCATTATTTTATGAATAAATGTTCTCCAACAAATCCGAACTGGTGTGAACCATAAACATTTCTTACCATTGTACTATAGTCTGTCTCATTATTGTCAATAAAATTTTATAGGGTAGAATGAAATTTCCAAAACTATATATAACTTGTACTTTCTCTCGTTATTCTCGAAAAACTGAAGAAATGAAAAACCGAAAAATCTAAAAATTGAAAAATTAAACATTGAAAACTCGTGAAATTTAAAATCAAAAAACTGCAAAATCTAAAACGTGAAATGGCCAACAGTTGGAAAATCCGAAAACTGGAAAATTTAAAAATGAAAACTCGAAAAGATATCGTAAAATTAAAGAAAAAAAACCCGAAAAATTGAAAAAGTGACGAAACGAAAAATGGAAAAAAAGTAAAATTGAATATAATTATAAAATCGGAACATTAAAAAATTGTAAAAATAAATAAAAAAAAAAACTGAAACGAAAAATTACAAATGAAAAAATTAAAAATTGAGAACTCGAAAAACTCAAATCGAAAAATTGCCAAATCTAGAAATTGAAATGAAAAGTTGAAACATTGTAAAATTAAATTTAAACTTGAAAACCCTAAAAAATGAAGGAACAAAAAAAAATGAAAAATTGAAGAAAAAATTCAAGTCAAATCGGCCGGTTTTTACTTAATAGAGGTATAGAAAACAAACATCGCATAAATAAGGGATAATTTTTCAGCGAAGGGGGATTTATTTGGCAATGTATTCATCCAAATTAATTTGGCTTTTTTTTTAGTTTACAATGGATAAGATTCGCTCGTCATTTTAATTGTAAAGCTCAACCAAATTTGCTACTTCTTAAATATTTTTTTTCGTGAACGAAAACATCTGGTGATTAAATAAACAGTTAGGGAAATAAAAAGTTAATTTTGATCCACATAATGTACAAATGTTTCTTGTGCTGCAGTCTTTGTTTTCCAGATTTATACGTAAAAAAGTTTGTAATTTTTACAAGTCATCATACTCTAAAAAAAATTTGCAAATAAAAAAAAATAGATTTTATAAGAACCCTCTTTAATCCTTAACGTTAATTTGGACAGTAGTCAGTCTGTAACTCTTTTCAATTGATTTAGGGATTTATCTGGTTATCCACTCCAAAAATTTGATGACGTCATATCAGATTATTAAAAGTTTATTAAAAAGTATGACAATAATAGTAATAGATAATCTCATCCAGTGCTATTTTATTTTAATTTGAGCGATGCTCGAAACCGGTTTGAAATGACAAGTAGTGTTTAATGAACAGGAAAACTAGCGAACGCACTCAAGACGTGACTAATGAGCTCGAACGCATCTTCGGTCCGTGTTTAATGAGTCTAAAGCCACGGTTTTAAATATGTCAATAGAAAACAATGTGCTTGCGTCATCTAAAAATTTCGTTAAGTTAATAATCTCTTGAAATATTTCCATGCTTATCTATCTGCGGTTTAGTAATCCAACTTTGTTTGGAGGATTATAAATATGGGTTGTTGTGAAATAAATTAGAATTGCAGAATAAAATTTTATAATTATTCAAGTATGAATTAATTTCTTTGAAATTTTGTGAAAATTCTTGGGTTTTTATTAGAAAAATTTTTAAAATATACAGCATTTTGTGGTATTTTAGAGACGTTAAAATAAATTCAAATTTCAAATTTTACAGAAATATTGACTTGCTTTTTTTCAATTTCCTCGACACAAAATCTGTTTGAAAATATACGCCCAAATTCGCAAAAGTGTGTTGGTTATATAGGTGTTTTTTTTTTTCAATTCTAACCACCTAAGAATTCGAAAGGTAGATTGTAACTTAAACTTGCGAAAATGACAATAAAGCACAATTTAGGTTATGTTAAGACACGAGATTGTGGGCAACCCACCAGAACACAACTTGGATGCTCTCAGAAACGATTTGTTCACGTAATGGACGGTGAAAACTAGATCAAAAATTAAAAAAATAGTGGAGGTTTATTATTATAATCAGGTTTTGCGATGGAAAAAGTGGTCTCTCAGCAATAATAATAACCTTTAACTTCAAGTGTTTGTTTATACATCGGAAGAATGTCACGTAACAATTTGTTTGTTTTGAATGGTTTGTCACCTCAAAACAGAGGACTAAAATTATTAATTGAGCCACAGTTGAACAGAATGTTCTGAATAATCTGAATATTATAATTGTAGTTGCCATGTTCCTAATTTGATCAATAAAAAATTGTTATGACACCATAAACATACATCGAACGTGTGACCGCGGGTCCGAAACACCACAAGTATAGGAGTATATTATTGTATAACATTTAAATAATTTTTAAAATAGAATTTTTTAAAAGATCTTATCAAATTATTGTTGGCGGGGATGATTAACCAAATTATGGTTAGCGCTTTAATAATAAATAATAAAAAAATAAATAATAGACACACAAAATTTGACAATAATCGGTCCAGTAGTTTCCGAGGGCACGTGTCGAATCAAAGTGGACGCAGACGCCAGACAGACAGACAGACGGACGGAAACGGGAAACTACTTTTTTCGTAGTCTAGGGGCCAAGCTATACATGGTGTTCTGTTTTTGAGGCGTAATACATAACTTATTTTTTTCAAGTGGAAAACTATATTTTTGCGTATTCTGATTGACTTTCGTCGGCTTTATAACCGCAGTTTATTTTTGAAATTCCGATGCGATGTTGCCACTTTATTCCAATTTTTTTGAAATTTTTAATCAATGAAATACGCATATCTGTTTTTTTATTTCTCCATAAAATACTGCAAGACAGGTCTTCAAAATAATATTATTTCCTGCATTGTTAAAAAAAAAAAAATGAAGAAATTTGGAATAAAGTGGCAACGTTGCATTTATATTTCCAAAATAAATATGGCTCTAAGCCTAGAAAGAGGCTAATGAGAATATCTAAATATACAAGGTGGTGAAAAAATGACGTATTTGCTCGATGGTACGTTGTTAAGAAGACTCTGCAGAACTCGAAAAAAAATGGTTAAAAAAATCTGAGCAAAATTTTGAAAAATATTAAACTTGAAAATTGAAGAATTAACTTCGTAGTTTGGTTTTAATTGAAAATCTAAAATTAAGATACAAATTGTCAAAAATCACGTCTATCAAACATAAAAAAAATTACGCTGTGAATGTGGTCGTGGAAAATTATTATCGTGACATTTAATAACTAATTGTTTAACTGTCTATTGGACAATATAGTTCATTAAAACCAATCGTTGAAAAAAAAACGTAATTTTTTCATCACCCTTAATATAGGTTCTATTTAAGCGAATTAATTGTGTGCTTTAAAAATAAAACACTTCGTTTATAATCGAAAATAATTTTAAAACATGCTACTAAACAAACCTCAGATTTTTAGTCTTTGATTTTTTTGCAATGTGTAATAATAATTAATGAGATATCGGAATCGCGCTTAGTGACTCACCTTGTATATGTATTTCGAAAAAAAAATCCGTGATGAGGAATTTTTTATTCATGATAAAATGCAAAAATTTCACAAACCAAGCACGAAATAGTGATTCCAGTCTTTTCCGAAAATTTTTAATCAATGTTCAAGAGAACTTAGATATGTCGATAAACTAACAAAGTGTCAAAATTTGGAAAAAATTAAGTCATTGTTTTTGCGTTACCGAAATTCCAGCCAAAATGTACCAATTGAAGAAACACTTTTCAAACAATCCGGACGTAAACACTTCCGTCAGTACTTTTCGCACTAAAATCCCCGAAGTTCGTAGTACCAAAGCGCGATCAAAAAAACCAAACTACTCAATAAAATACCTGTTGATGCACCGCCGCTTGAAAGCTCTTGACAACGTCATTCTGCGTCGGCACGGCAACAATAGCGCACACGAAGAGGTTGACGGCGACCGCGAAAGACGTCGTCCACATGCCGACAACTAATTGTTCTTGTTCACTGTTGCGGTAGGCCGTTTGTCCAAGTCCGACTGACCGTCCGGTGTCGATGTCGGCTTCTTTATTTAAAAACCCACCAAAGAGATCGCCGTCGTTCACGGTTCAATCAACGAAATTGCATCTCGCCGACACCACCGCGACCATCACGACCATCACACGCGACTCGCGATCCGGCTCATAACTCACGCGCTTTAATCGACGAAAAAAACGACCCAAGACGGATCCATCAAACGGCGGTGGCGTCAAAACTGGATTTCGAGACGGAAAAATGCGCTGCATTTCTGTATTTGTTCTGCGGATGGTCGTGGTGGTGGTGGTGGGCTCTGGGCTTATCTGGGGAGACGTTTGCTTTTCTAATCTGGACGAATCTAAATAAACACGGACGGCTTGCAGCCCTGGTTCGTGTGCGGCGCTGGCTGTGTTTACCGATGACACTTTTTATGGGTTTGGCGGATGGGTTTTCGGGATGTGTGGTCGCTGCGTGCGGATGGGAGGGTTATTTGGGTGGTTCGGTTCGTGGCTTGTAATCGGGAGCGAAGACATGCGGTGAGTCAGAGCACGGCATGAGAAGATCGGTACTTTGGAGCTGATGTATGTTGGATGGCAGCGGTTCCCAAAGTGTGGGTCGCTTTGACGTTAACTAGTTTATACAGGGTGCTCAAAAATGGTGCACCAACTTTATGGCGCGTTATTCAGGACTGTATAAAAAATAATTTTAAAAATTCTTGGGCCCAAATATAGAAGATAACGGGTGTTCATTTAAAAAAATCATCAAGTTGCCATTCATGTTTCTTTTTTTTTGATCGCCTAATTTTTTTATTCTTTTTTTCCAGTGTAGTAAATGAGGAGAGTAAATAAGACTTTTTTCTTTAATTTATATTAAAAACTAGCGGACCCCGTGAACTTCGTTTCACTGAGTCAATATATTTTATTGATTGAATCAAAAATTACAAAACTGAATTTTGAAATATTGCAGACGTTTTGAAGTTACTGTTTGACATGGTAGGTTTTTAACCAAAATATATCTGTTTATCAAGCGCAAAAACTTGATGACGTCATCTCAAGATTTTGCCGAATAAATCCTATCTAAAATGTGCAAAATATCATCAGTATATTTTCGTAATTTATCATTGCATTCATATTTTTTAGATTTGCTTTTACAGTGACTCAAAAAAATGTATGGATCAGTCAATTTATTTGATTGAATAACTCAAGAGTTGCAGAAATGAATACTTTGAGATCTTGCAGACGTTTTAAAGTTATTGTAAGCATGGTAAATTGTGAAGAATATTTATTTATTCCACCCAAAAAATTGATGGAACGGCTCACTCGATTTTCGCAGATAATTTTGGGAATACAAAACAGTTCTTTTTAGTATTACACTGTACCAATCCAAGGTGGTATACGTGTTGATCGTAAATGTTGATTAGGTCATCACAAAATTGTGTGAAAAAAAGACTCAACTCGAAAATGCTGAATATGTTTCATTATATTTTGGTGCGAAAGAAGTTCTGTCGAAACAACGTTCGATCAATTTTTTGACAATGGTTGATATAAATAAAACTCAGTAGATGCTCATACTCGAAATACGAAGTATCTACTCGAATATCAAATCAAAATATTTCTAGTTTTTCTAGATGATGCTAATACTTCAGTAGGTAACAGTTGATGCTCAAGTAGCATCTCGATACAACAGAAATAGGAAAACAGTGACAGTGTTCAACCACCAAAGCAAAAATCGAGTCATCAAAATATAAGTTAGTATGGGGTAGACACCTTGAGATGGGAATCTCTATGGCCAGTGTTAGAAAAAACGCACTGCACAATTTATGCATAAATAAAAGTTAATTACCTAAAAAGTTTTCGAAATTCCCGCTCCTAATGTGTTTTTCAAACTGAATGGACCTTTTGACGACGTTCCACGTTCACGAAAGTCGCCATGTTTAGTCAAAATTCACTCTTACAACGATCCTACTCGTGTTCTAAGCTGTTTTACAGACAGCTCAGTCATTTGCCTATGCTCATTTTTAGATTAAATGTTCACAAAACGCGTAGATGTTCAATTTGTGTCCGGGGAGATACAATGTTTCCAAGTAGGTACTCAGTACATAGAGTAGATGCTCAGGTGTATAAGAGGAATAATGAAGTATATACTTCGTACTTCGAATATTTGTATCTACTCAGTTTTATTCATACCACCCAATGTCTCACTTCAATGTTTGATTATTTTGATTATGAGCACAACGCTGATCAACTTCCAAATCCGAATTACCCATGAAATAAATCATTGCGATTTGCACCTGAGGTAGTTCGTCGCACATTTGATTGACTTCGTGGACCTATGTCAGCTTGTCGTCTTCTCGGCATTGTAATGAACTTCATAAAACGACACAGAATTATTTTCACAGTCAATCAAATCTGTAAATTTTGTCTTGAGAATTTTAAAATATTGAAAACTTCAAATTAAATCCTCGAATACCAGTAAAGTTTGAGGTTTTGTCGAAACCAACAAAGTGAATATAGGTAAATAGAATGGTAGATCAAAATTTATAAGAAACTTTCGCAATGTGTAACTAAATTCACTTTAACCAAGACTTTTCTTAAAATAAACGACGTTTTCTTTTTTACGAAAAAACAAAGAACGATTTTAAATGCAATATACTTTTCACAATCGCACGGAAGAAATAGTTTTGTATTATGACACGTCAGTTAGACAACAGATCCGTCAGGAACGCCAACTATTGAAATTAATTCGAAGTGGCGATTCCCATACACAATTTTTAGAATTTTTTGATTTTTAGCTGTTCTTTTAAGTTTTTCCTATTTTTTTTTGTTTATAAACCATCCCCGTAATATAAAAAATTCTTCAAATCGGTCAAGCCATTTTTGAGTTTTAGCGAGACTAACAGGAACAGCAAATGACCTTTATTATATAGAAGATTGAAAAAAGGGGGTTGGTGGTAGAAAGGTGTAAATTTAGGGTTATATGTATTTTTTGATGCCAAATCTAAAAAAAATAAAAATAAAAAATTTTGTTCAAGAAATAAACAAAAATTTTTTAGGGTGGGCCACCTTTATCACTTAGGGATATAAAAGATAGTTTACAACCTATTCTCAGACCTACCGAATATATATAAAAAATTTCATACAAATCGGTCAACCCGCTTCGAAGGAGTTCGGTTACAAACACTATGACGCCAGAATTTAAACATAATGCATTGTTATTTTTGAACAAATTTCATTACCATAAAAAAGGTTATACTGAGTCGACCTTAAAAGATAGATATATGCTGTCGTGGACTTTTCTTTAGAACTTTTAGAGGGGAACAATTTCGTCATACATGATTTTTACGTAACTTTAACCGTTTAAGCAGCGTTAGCAACGGAAGCTGTCAAAGGAGGAATAATTTTCCCGTTTTTCCGAATTTTTCAATGCTACTTCGTCCCTATTGAACGTAGCGTGATGTTATATAGCCTATATGTAGATACGATAAATGGACTATCCAACACAAAAAAATTTTTTGAATTCGAACCAGTAGTTTCTGAGATTAGCGCGTTTAACTAAACAAACACTTCAGCTTTATAATATAGGTATAGATGAGTTAGTGTTTGACTTTTAACTTAAACCAGGCCGAGAATCGTATATACAGGGTTATGATAAAGTATTACACAAAATTCATAAAAGGCATTTGTTTTTGAAAAAAAAAAATGCAAAAACATTTCAAGCCTTTCATTTTAATCTCCATCTTTGACGTAATTAAAAAAAAAATTAATCGGATTATTTGATAAAGCTTATTTTTCTACATATGAAAATGTAGCTTGATGTAGGCTTTGCATAACAAAAACAAGGAGAAAGTTAATAACAAACGAAATAAACATGATATGAACATGAAACAAAATGAAATCCAAATAACTACAAATTAAAAGAAAAATCTGTCAAAGAGAATCGCTTTTGTCAGTTTCTTAAGTTGGTTTAATAAAATAAAGAAAACTTTTTGGCTGTTTGTAATCCAGTGTTTGTGACTTGTAAACAAATATGTTTTTTGTTTGTCCACACTTCTGTCAAAGTCGCATAATAATGGCTCATTTAACCGAAAAAGAACGAATAGAAAGCCTAATGATGGTAGTTTATGGCCGTATGTGTGCTTTGTTCAACTTTAGAAGCACAGTTAGTAGAATTGTTGCAAAATTTAATCAAACAGGAAACGTGAGAGATGTTTCAAGATGTGGAAGACCACAAATAAACCATAACACCAAGTTGAATCTCTTGTTATCAGTAGAAGACAACCTCCATGTAACAACGATAGAAATGGCTTTACAAGAAAATGTTATCCAGACGTTTGTGGTAAAGTTTTTAGAAAAAAAGAGAAACTGCATCCATATAAAGTCCAACTCATCCATGAACCATCAGAACATGATCCTGACAGACGATTGGAATTTTGTGAAAGCTTCCTGAGACATTACGACAATCCCAATTTTTTAAATAGTGTCGTTATTTCGGCTGAAGCAACTTAAATGGTACCGTAAATCGACACAATTGTCGTTACTAGGCTCGACAACACTCTCATTGGGCTCAAGGTGCACACACCCAACGTCCCCAAAAATTAATGTTTGGGTGGGACTAGTAAACACAAGATTCATTGGCCCTTACTTTTTTCGCGGAAATTTAACAGAAAATCTATATTTAGATCATCGTAGAACCACAGTGCTTCCGGATCTAACTGTTACGTTTCCTGATCCAGATAATCCACAAAATTTAGATCGCAGGATTTGGTTCCAGAAGGGTGGAGCACTACCACATTATGGGTAAATGTAAGGGATTTTTTGGATAATCAATTTTATGGACGATGGACCAATAGAATGGCCACCGAGGTCACCGGATCTGATACCCTTTTATTTTTTTTTTTATGGGGACATTTAAAAAGTCTGTTTCCATGAACAGACTCGATAATTTAGAGGGCTTGAAAGCACGACTTCGTCATGAAATGACTCGTATAAGTCCCCAGAGTATTGAAAATGCCGTCAATCAGGTCTACCATCGTCTGGGTTTGTGTCAGATCGTGAATGCGGAACAGTTTGAACAATTTCCACAACATAAATTTTTACTCCAAGGTATTGTTCTGTTAATTTATAATTAAAATGAAATTTATTTCGTTTTTTATTAATTTTCTCAATTTTTTTGGTATGCAACCACTGCATCAAACTAGATACCAACGTACACAGTAGGGCAATCATTATAATTTAATTTGTGTTTTGCTACGTACCTTAAAGTGCAGGTTAAATTTTGATGAAAATACTGTTACGATGTGCGGACGAATAAAATTGGCGTGGGTTAAAACTCAACAATTTATTTCTTAATAACTCGGTTTTACACGACTATTACAGTGATTATGTACAAAATGACTTCGTGGTGCTC